ATTTCCTCTTTAACTAATTGAATGTCTTTGAATTCTGGACAGTAAGCTAGCAAACATCCTCAAAAATACTCTGAGATAAAGCTCTACAATAGCGGTCTCCAACATGAGGCTGTTCCAAGGGGAGGAATGATGGGGGCGTCTAGCAATTTTGAAAAAGATTTAATTTATACTTTTAATTTTCATTTATGAGATAACTGAGAAAGGTGCTCCAAGTGACAAGAAGGGACAAAGTCCGCAATCAGACAATATGTCAAGATCTTAATACCCAATCCTTACAAACCCGAGTGGATCAGTCACAGTTACGATGGTTTAGACATGTATGCAGTATGGGCGAAAATCGGCCACCATGGCAGGCATGGGAGGCTAAGAACCAAGGAACCAGACCTCCAGGACAACCCAGTGTGCGCTGGGAAGACAACATCCAACAGTCCCTAACTAACAGATGACTGGAATGGAACAAATCCAGAAAGAAAACTGCTGATAGAGACGTCTGGCGATCTCTCTGGCAAACCTCTACACCCCAAGGTAGAAGAGGAGCGACTAAGTAAGTAAGTAATTTTACTAAAAATGGGAGTCACAGTGGCGTTAGCCACTAAAAGCCAACCTGCGGATAAGAAGGTCGCGGGTTCGTATCCTGATGGAGCTGACTTTTCTCAAAAATGACCTAGACTCCCAGGTTGACCCAGCCTTGATTGGGTACCAGGTGCAGTCCTGGGAAGTAAAAGCAGCTGGCAGGATGCTTTACTGAATAGTTTGGCTGGTTCAGCACATGGTAAACTGATGCATGACAAGCTTGATGTCATCAAGGCTCTTTGAGAGCAATTGAAACATGTGGAACCACATATAAATGATCACACATTGAAGAGAATGGTGCATGGTAGTGAGCTGGGAATTTGGTTGACACTCACTACTCAGAGGAATAGCAAGATAAGCAGGCAGCACCCTGATGCTCTGAAAAGTTATTTGTTTTTAAATAGGTTTTGCTTATGCAAATTCTCCATTTCTGGACTGGGAGTCTAAAGGTTCCATCGCCAACTAACTGAGGTGAATGCTTGGTGGGATGCTAAAAGCTGCAGATTTTATGCAGAGTTGTGCCCGCAGCATGTTGTTGACTGCATTAAAATGGTGGGTGGCCGATTATGTTAAGAATGATGTTTAATGCTTGCTTTCATAATTGACTGTTCATGCCAACAGTGGGCTGCAGTTCTGATGTGGGACCATTAGTATTGGCACACCTGAAAGCTGTCATGAATTTTTACTTTGCCTGTGCAGACTTCAAGATTTTGCTGGAACTGACAAGTTTTTAACTAGTTTTCCAGTGAGACCATGAAGGACATTTTGTGCGATTTCCATTAGCACAAGAGTGGAGCCGTTATGGGGAAACCCATTTGTATAATGTCAGAACCTCGACTAATGACTAACTAGCGACATGCAATCAAACTGCACTTGAGCCATCATAACTGGAACTCCATGCTGACTGCTGACGATAGGGATGGAGCACATATGGGGATGTCTGAAGTGCTGTTATATAAATTCTTTACTCAGCTCAACTGAATTTAATAGTGTCTTTCTTCATATTTTCAGTAAGAGCAAAGGTGGGTGACCGATGAACATGGCGAGTGTTGTCATCCAGTCACCATTTCCTAGAACAGGTTCAGCAAAGTGGGGTCACCCCCGACCAATGTCTGTTGTTCACCCTGTGTCCCAACAGTCATATGATCTGCACCTTACAATCACTGGTACTTCAACTCCTGCACTAGACCAGCAGCCTTCTAGAACTCTGCAGTTTACAACAGGTATTTTATATTTATTGGTACCTTTATATCTTTCCAGACGACAGTGTTATATTGCGCTATAAGGAGGCTTGGAACTCGCAGCACATGCCGACGGCGAGTGTGACTAGCAAGACATGCCCACATTAAGAAAAATCTTCAAAGGGTGAAAGCTCATGTGCCGTTGGATCAATAACAACAACAGTAACAGTAGTAATTTCTATTTGACCTCAGACCAAAGTGGGCATAGTCTTGTCCACACTCGTTAATTCAGATCAGGTGTCGTTAAGTATGGCCAGCAGTCCAGAACTGACCCTAAGAGCAATTTTTTACTGGCCCATGAGGTTGGTGTAAAATTACAATATAATGTGACCCCTCAGGTCACAGACTATCAGAACTAAAAAAAAAAATACAAAAAAAAAATAAAATAAAAATGTCAGCATCCAAAAAACGTATGACCTAAACTGTGATAACCAGAAACGCTAGTGAAACACATGCTGCACAGAAACTCAGACATTAGGATACATTTTCTGTTGGTGGACTTTGATAATAAAATATAAGCTGAAAACCCTTTTTTTCTCTGATCAGCAAATGTATAGATCAAAAGAATGGCCCACAGACTAGGAAAAAAAAGCTGCCCATCCCTGGCATAGATGCTTTGTGGAAATCGGTGGCCAGACATGCACAGTATCTGGCTCAAAATAAGCAGTGGAACTGGGGAGGGGGGAGGGGCGTGGGGGAGTAAGGAAATTAGGTTCATCAGATTCAGTTACTTGTTATGTCCACAATAATCAGTTATATCCTTTACTGCATAATTTAATGAAAGTAAATATTTAATATGTTCCTAATGTTTTTTCCAAAACATTGAATGAATAGCTCTTTTTTGATTAATCACAAGCAATGCTAAATGCGGTCTAGTACTGTTTATATTTGGTCAAGAACATACAAAAGACATCTGAATTCTTTAGTGGTCATTTCCATTAGTAATTTTAGTCTACTTGACAGTAATGTATAGTGGAACCTCAATATATGTTCGGTTTGGTATGTATCAAACTTGGTATAATCCTGTTTAGACACAAACAAATTTGTGCTTTATGTATGTCCTTTGTTTGGAATAATATTTATTTACTATAATTTATATGAGTCAAAGGAGTCATGTCACCTAGCGCTACCATTGTTTACCTCTCTGATTAATCAACAAAGTGTTTGTCGAATGGGTGGATGTCAAAAACTGCAGAGAAGTACAACCTCAACAAGCCTGAACAAGCTGTAAGAGCACTTTCTGGAGTAACCAGATAATGTCCATTTCCTAAACATTCTGAGGAGAAGGCAGAAGCAAAGTTCTTTGAATAATATTTTAGGAAAAGTCAAACCCACTGAGCCTCAACCAGGTTCAAGTAGGGAAAAAGGGGATGGAGAACACACCAGAATTTTAGGTTCCTGAAGTTTGATTGATTATTTCTCCTCTTTGTATCTGCTTCAGAAGTTCTGAGGCTCAGAGAATAAATGAATGCACATTTCCTAATCTTTGTTAATAAGCAAATAGATTTTCCTGCATTTGTTCCACGGAAGCAGGACTAGAGCGTGACCATGCAAGTTATGGAGAGATGGAAATCTGAGGCTGTAACTACAAACATCTACATAACCTAAGGTGTGCACCGGATGCTTCTTCAAAATCTGATGCTGAAAGGCAAAACAGGACTAGAGAAGAAAAAGAAGTTCTCTCTCTCTCTCTCTCTCTCTCTCTCTCTCTCTCTCTCTCTCTCTCTCTCTCTCTCTCTCTCTCTCTAACACACTAACACACACACACACAGACATGAGAGAGAGAGAGAGAGAGAGAAATAGATTTTACTAAACCAATGTTTTAAACCCTGCATAATGTGTAGTTCGCCTGTAATCAGCTAAATAAAGAGTTATACACATTACCCCATATGTAGTATGCTACCTTATCATAGTGTTAACTGCCAACTGAATGTATATTTTTTCATGGTATCAATAAAGAGCATCTCCAGAGATCAGATAAGGGAAGATTTAAAGTACCAAAGACAACAGCTTGGAGAACAGATAATGAGGTGACGTACGATAAATTTCCATATAAAATTTATGTATAATTTTACATGTTAACAAAATGTGGGAGACCAATAAAGAAAATATGGTAAATCGCATAAGAGATCTCTTCTCACACCATGAAGTATAAAGGTAAATGGTGTGAGCCCAGTGCTTTTAGACCCATTTGCACCTGATGGGTTGTATGATAAATAACATGAAAGCTACCTTTATTTTCCAGGATCATTCGAAGTCATAGATAGTACATCTGCCTGTTAGGCTAGAAAACAACAGACTTCACAGATCTTTAAAACAAATGCACATGCAGAAATCAAGTCCTGGACCAAAGCCAACATTCAGAAATAGATGAACAATAATTACTTTTCCACCAGAATTTACAGCTGGTGAATGCAAACAAACAACACTTCCCAGTACCCATTTTTGATTGAGTCAATCTGAAAGCCCAAGTCACTGAAAAAAAAACAGAAATCTCATCCTTGAAAGGGATTCAAACACATGACCAATGGATCGGCAGACAATCATGCCATGTTTACACGGGAGTTTTCAGTCAGATTGGCAGACAATCATGCCATGTTTACACGGGAGTTTTCAGTCAGATCGGCAGACAATCATGCCATGTTTACACGGGAGTTTTCAGTCAGATCGGCAGACAATCATGCCATGTTTACACTGGAGTTTTCAGTCAGATCAGTGAAAGAGAAAAGTAGTTAATGTGTTCTAAGCTCTTTCTGAACCACCATCATCATCATCACTGTCCTGTTGTGGCATTATATGTCACACAGGGCTCATAGCCTATTCCTTCCTGAAATTTTATCCTGTGCAGTCCTTTAATATCATGGATTGAATCCAGTTCACTACTTTTGGCCTCTTTCATCAACATTATATTTAGGGTTTCTTTTGGGTGTTCTCACTTCTTCAATCCCTTTATTTCCCATTTTAGTGCCTGTTTGGTTGTTTTTTCTTCTGAATCAAACAAGAAACAGTCCTAACTCATGAAATTTGAACCTAAAAATGCTGGACTAGCAGCATTTTAACAGGTCACTGAACATCTATCAGATATAATATAGAAAGGGTAACTATTGAGCCTTTTTTTTTTTTTTAGACTGTACTAGCCTTACATTATTAATAATTTTTTTTAACTTTGTAAATTACCTGCAACAGTTATATGAACAAGTCAAAGAAAAACTGACTACAGGTTACGAGGGTGTTCGCCAGCTGTTCCGAGCTAAAGATCCTTATGGAGATTCCATTGTAACCAGGTAAGACAAATGATAAGTGAACACTAGAACACTTAAGAAGATAAAAGACATTTATAAATTTGAAATCATAAATGTAACTTATACAGCTTTTATATGATTGAACAGGGTTTCTGACATGTGTGCCTATTGGTTCTCACTTGAATAGTGGCTCTCAATTGAATAGTGGCTCTGAGAGAATGCAGATAAGGAAAGGGATTACAACTCATGTTTTTTGGCCCTGAAAGAGAGTGAATTTCCTTTCCGTTCATAAATCGCTGTTGCACGATTTGTCCTATGTTGCGGGGGTGTCACGCTACAACTGCATACAGTCGTGCGACCTAGGCTGCATGCAGTCGTGGGGTGTGGACTGCGCTCTTCTGTGGGACGTAGGCTGCACTCTCTCACGGGATGTAAGGGGTTGGGTTTAGGGTCAGTTCTGCATGTTTTGGGATGGTTTAAAGTGCTGACATCCTGTAATATACAATACGTGATAATCCGGGCCGGTCACAACAACTAGTAAAATGCTACAACATAGCACAAGCCATGCAGCATGGCAATTTATGAATGGGAAGCGAAGTCACTCTCTTTCTGGGCCTGAAAATGTGAGATCTACCAGAAAGTGAATAATTAAAAACAAAAAACACACAGTAAACTGAGGTATTAAATTGTCAACACACAAAACAAAGCAATAAAAAAAAAAAAGAGGTAAATACATGTACAAAAAAGAACATGGGAATTCATAGCTGGCTGTGCAGGCAGAACAGTCCTGGAAACCGAAGAAGAATAAGAAATCAACACAGAGCTGGTGTTGTCAGCCGCTGTAGGATTTGCTATGGAGGTAATCCGAGCCATTATGGAATGAATGGTTTGTTAGGTGAGGATAATCTGTTTAACTAACTAACTAGATGTCAGAGTACATAAATTAAATATCAAACCAGTATCCAATTTTTGCATTGTACATAAATATAGACGTAAATTTTTTTTAATGATTAACCAAATGACATTACATTTGATTGGTTGATGCATTCATTCCTTCAGTTGAAACAAAAATGCCTTTCTCTTTCCTTCAGAGAAGGCCTGTTTTTGATTTTAAAGTCACTTGTGGGTCACATCAGCAGAGATCAATTTGAATCTTTTCTTAAATCGTAAGTATTAAGTTTATCGCACATTTAGTATAAATATGTAAATCTTTTATTTAAAAATCTTTTTTTTATTATCTTGTGTACAATTTATTTATTGGTTATTTGCTCCTTGATCGGTAAATTAAACGTTAGGATATGCTTCTATACACACCATGCGGAGAACGGCTACCGTTCGTTCGAGGCCTGACACGAAAGTGTGAAGCTCTCTTACATGGCAGGTGACATTAACCCTTTCGCTGCTATGGACGTCTTTTCCCGATTTCCCGTACGCTGCTACGCCCATCTTTGGACATTATTTTTTTTCTTGACCCCCAGTGCTATAGACGTCCCAAGCCGTTTTTGGACTTTTCTTGCAGATTTCTGTTACCTCGTATTTTATTGGCTGAAGGGCAATATACATTAGCTATATTTAGATTAAACTGACCCATTTACATATGATTAAAAGCACTGGCACGTGCTTTTAGGTGTGTTTACTGCATTCTGCGTTATCCCGTTGCTTTGTTTACCGTGACAACGTGGTCGGTGATCTGTGTATTTTGTGCCCTGATATATATTTGTGCTTTTGGATTATTCTACACTTAGTACAAAATGGCAAGAAAACTTGTTAAAGTTGATGAAGAATTGATGGAGTTTCTGTCAAGAAGTGATAGCGAAGATGACTTTGAAATGTGTACTTCTGACAGTGAACAAGAAGATTTGACTAGGCCATCAGTATCGACTGCTGAAACCGGCGTGTCCAAAAAAATCTGTTTGCCTGTCCGACGTCCGGAATCAGAGAGCAGCGACAATGAAGCGCCATCAAAACGGCAATAAATTGATCAGTTGTCTTGATGAACCGATGATTTGAAACCAGTAGTGCATAATTTTGATGACTCCAGCTCTATCTGTATTTCTGCTACTGTAAATTCAAACAGTTCAGTCACTAAAAATTATCGTCTTTCCCGATGGACAGACACAGATTCGGACAAACTTTTTTTTGTTGTTGCTGTCTGTCTGCTAATGCTTAGAACAAAGAAACTCAAAATAGAGTACTTGAGCAAAGACTGTTTGCTAAAAACTCCCATAAAATAATGTCGAGGGACAATTTTTACTATTGTTGAGAATCTCAAACATTTCTCAGACAACAGTGCTCATGCAGGCGGCGATAGACTAGAAGCTTAGACACGTTATTGATAGTCTGCGCACATCATTCATTATCATCATTCACACAGCGCAATGTGTAGTTGGTATCACGTTCGCCTTAGAATCGGAGGGTCGTGTGTTCAACCCCCGAAGTTTTTTTTTTTTTATTAATTGTAAATTTTCCTTTCAGTTCCTGCTACTTTTCAGCAACGGACGACTCAAGTATTATTATTAATATTTATATTTTTTATTTTGGTATGTAATAACATGGTGACTACAAATAACTCCCCCCCCCCCCCCTCAGAAGGGTGATAGCTCCATTAGTCAAGTTTGTGAGGCACCATCAACCTCTGACTTGTCACCATTCGGACCAACCACACAACTCCCCAGGGTAAAATTTTTTCGGTGTACAAAATATAGCCCCCACCGCTGATGTATCTTTTGCGTTTGGAGGATAGAAAAGTATTGCGCACAGCAGAGACTTTTTTTTTCACATTGCTTAGCACAGGGCAGACAACTATTTCCAGGAACATAGCAGCGAAAGGGTTAAGCAAAAGCTGTGTGTTTGTGTTTGTGTGTGCAGGCGTGCATAGCTTATGCGTGCCTGAGTGAGAGTTATATTAGTTGATTTTTTCTCTGTCACTTGTGCAACCATCACTGGTTTGAGAATTGGTGACATTTTGGGGCGGGCCCTGGGTCAAGTCACAAAGTAAGGCTGCAGTGATAGCAATGAAGAGCAAATGCCGCTCACAACATGCAAAATATAATGCTTATAACATTGAAAATAATAAAACATGACATACCTAGAACATAGGACAGCTTGTGGGAAATCTCATGCCCGGCGAGAGGGGGTGATTTTCAGGATATGTACCAAGTACTGAGAGACCCACTGCTTCCCTAAGAAGCATGTTGTCAAAGGTGACAAATTGTACGTTTTTCTTTAGAAATCAGAGTGCATCTGCCTGAGAAGTGAGAAACCACAGTCTGTATAAACATTACCAAGATCTAATGATATGGATGAACAAGACTAAAGCCTAGAAGTGGTTAAAAGACCAGAACTTTCCACCCTAGTTTACAGTCAGTGAACTCTAAGAAAAAGAACAATTCCCTATTGAATCCTAAACCTGTTTCATATTTCAACAGTTACACTGACAGCTGCTGATTATCTTCTGTGTGTGAACATTTTTTTATTTGTGTTTGTGTATACTATTTCCTCATGGTGCTATTAGTTAGTTAGTTAGTTAGTGTGGTTATCATCATTGCACTCCGGACCTGTCCATAGGTGCTCATATCCTCCCCTCAGTATGAACCGCAACGTCCGATGGCTAATAGTACCAGTACAAGTCTTCTGGCGTGTCTGGTGTACGTCTCGTTTTTGCTATGCCGATCCTCATGATGCTATTCGAACAATAATCATGTTATTATGTCTTTGAAACAAAAGTTTGAAATGAAAGGTGTTTGCAACTTAATTTTGGCTACATTTATGCTTTGTGTTTCACACCAGAATCAGTTTGCACTGGAGATCGAGTATCAGCTTTGATGAATTTATAGCTCATTTTCAAGATATACCAGTAAGTGTTTGTAGTGTGGAATGTATGTGATATAAAATGAAAGTATTTTATAATTAAAAAAAATAGACTGCCATTAAAAAAAAACTGTCATTACTGCTTGTTGTTATCACTTTTGCAATGTAGGCTGGGGGGGGGGGGGGGGGGGGGGGGGGGGGGGGGGGGGGGTCTTTGAGCCTGAGGACTTAGTTGAGGATTTTGTTTACCCTAAACAGAAATAAATAGCCAACCTTACTGAGGTTTTGATCCCAGCTCTCCATATGAGAGCCCTGCATTCTAAGCCATTCAGCCAGCTGCTCCTCGTGAGATAGACATAAGATCATATTATGCCCTTTAAAAAAATAATTATGGAGAATGTCGAAAGAATTAAATGTTAAAAATATATGGTTAAATGAAACAGAGACAATAGTCAATGAAGTGGTACATATTTAGCTGTTGCAGAAGGCCAGTGGCATAAAATAGGGATGCAGGCTTGTTCTGATCTTGTTTGTATGACATTTGCTACATTGCTTTACAGTGCCTTTGGTGATGGTGACTCAGGAATTGGTTTAAACTACCGCAAAAGCTTCAGGCTAAAACAAACACTAGATTAACCACAAACAGAAATCTGTTATTTGCAAGCAACTGTGCTCTAAACTTTAGCTGTGGAGGCCAGTCTGTGATACATTATCAACAGACTATCAATAGCCTGTGCAAACTTTGGGTTAACCATCAACATGGATAAAGCTGTGGTTTTCTGTGGACCAAGCAAGATAATGTACTCAATTTTTAAAGAAAGTCCCGCTGTACCTACATCACTCATGCACTCAGAATGGATAAGACTAGACCCCCCCATGGACACCAGAAGACAAAAGAAAACGGGGACGACCAAGAGAGACCCTGTATAGAACCATCCTCAGGAGAGGCTCAGCCATGGGTCTAACAAACATCCAAGACCTCAATCAGGTGGCAATGAACTGCCTGACATGGAGAGCTGTGACCTCTGCCCTTTGCTCTGCCCTAGGCTAAAAAAGAAAGAATAACTAATCTGTCGATCGGCCCTAGCAAAACTTACAGGGAGCCTAAAATCACAGCAAATAGTCAAAAACTAAATTCAGTTGATAGATTTACTTCTTGGCAGCACCCTGTCTCAGAGGGTCACTATTGATGACAAGATCAAGAATCTCAAAAGACGGCAGCAACTTTGGCAGTTTTTACACCGGTGTCTGTAAAAGAAATGGTATCTACGGGCAGGTTAAAGGTTAAAGTGTAGAGGATTTATCTCATTGCACCAGATTTTATCAAATATGGCTCAGCTTCTCTCCACAGAGAGTATTACACAAAGCACAAATACCATAGCTCCAGCCATGATCCTTAGAGTCTTCATAAAAGTTGCACTCGGAAACTGAATGATGCAGCCATGAAAGAACCCACAACCTTCAGGTGGGAGGGAAACAGCTTGACCACTTCACCACAGCAACCCCCCAGATAAAGCTAAAAGGGTACCTCAGTAATAATTATATAATTACTGCCCTACATCTGCAAAGCTTGCATGCTGCATCAACGCCATGCCAAAAAGCTGAATCAATTTCACAATATGTCACAGAAAAACAGCTGAAAATTAAATGGCTGGACATATTCCAAACATTGTGGTCCTCAGCATATGATGCTGAAGAAATGTAAGCTTCACTGGTCTGGTCACCAAGCCTACATGCCTTACCACTGGCTTCAAAGATAGTATTTTATGGCAAACTACAGCATAGAAAATTATCTTGTGACAGATAGAATAAACTGCATAAAGACTCTTAAATCTGCTTTAAAAACAAAAAAACTATTGTATGCTCTGAGCTGTAGTCTAATGATCAATGCTATGAAGTCAAAAATCGTCATTTCTTGGCAAATCACAGGTGCTCCATTCAACCTTTAAAGAAGTTATGATAGGGCAGTTGTGATGACTTCACCAAAAGTGATGTACTTGCAGTCCTTGACTGATGACCTACTTTAGATTTCTGTATCGCCATATATTGGTATCATTCAGTCACATTAGCTGTACTCTGAGAATGTATGTATTGTAATGCATGGACATTTTTTTTAAATGTATAGGTTGCAGCTTCTCATTTGATTTCTGACTTTTTACAGAAGCGACATACTCAAAATCAACCGGACAACAATTTATTTGCTCAGAATAAATTAGAGTGGTGTCCCTTTACAAGTGCTCCTCATGCTTTTGTCGTATTTCGCAGGAAACTGCAAAATGGGTATGTTTGATTTCACACATAATTTTTTTTAAAGGTTTATTTTAAAATTAAAATTAATAAGAAATTCATATTTCAATAGTAGGCATCAACTGACATTTGAATTAGATTTGCTATCACCCTTGGTTGATACCCTTTCAGTCCACTGCACTGGCCATTTAAAAATTAAAATGGAAACATAATGGCAATATTGTTTACATTAATACTTCAATGTAAATTTACTCACTGATGTTGTGTTGCATCTAAATTTAAGTTTTTTCTGGAAAGTGAATGTTTTTGGAATTCACAAAATTATTATTTGCTTTGTTCTACACAAGAACAGAATAAACAAGGAATTGTTCATTTTTCATTTTAGAGATCATCATCATCGCACATCGGGCATGACCATAAGTGATCTGATCTCCTCCTGAGTATGTCTCCAAATGTTTTTAGACTAACAACTTCCATTCTATTCTGGTTGATATAACAACGGGTGGCTCCCCCATGGTTTTCCTGGCTCATGGCTCCACCACTCTATTCAGTGAAAAATCTTTAGAATTTGTGCATGTTTGAGCCCGTTCCTTTGACACTTTAGTCTTTTTCACCTTTGAAAACAAAGAGTAGGCAGCAGATATAGTGTCTCTACCTAGACATTATTTTGGTCACATTTAGGGTAAAGCTGTTTGCATCAGGCACATAAATGCATAGTTCAGTTTACAAGTGCAGTTTTTATGGAGATCCCTGGGGATCATCACTGAAGCTATGGAGTTCATGCTTTGTGGACACATTCGGCAGGTTGATAGCAATATGAGATAACAATCTGGTGCATTGAAGTCAACATTCTCGACTTTAGATGTTAACTTTGACACTGGATCATAGATCTTCTACTGGTGTTTTATTGACAACATTGCCCGTGTGGGTTCCAGGGCCACATTTGGGGGAAAGGAAGGGGGCTGGGACAGTAGACTCCCTGCCTCCCTATCAATCATGTTGTAAAAGACAAGTCTTACCTCTGAAGTAAGAGCACAAATACCTGAGAAGCAAGGAACCAACAGTCTGCATACACATAAGCAGATCTGTAAAACAGATATATACTGTTAAAAAAAAAAGAAACACATAGTTATCCAACGGCACGTTTTTATTAGTTTGTAAATAAAACATCATACTCAGGTGTGTGAAAAGCAGTCTCAAATGCTGTTTACCATGCCCACTGGACATATGGGCATGAATTTCAGGGGTTTAATGTGATCGTTACAACGCAGTGGTCAGTTGTGTTTGAGACCATATTTGTGAGCATAGCTCATGATGCACGCTCGAGAAAGCAACACAATTTGGGATGAATACTATTCACTACCAACGCAACTGAAACCCTATAAAAGGATAAAGCTACACCAAAATAATCAGTTCATTTTCAAGCAGTCATGAATGATGCCTCTATTGATAAATTTTAGGAATCTTGCTATAGACCGATTGCAGGCAGTAAAAGTCAAAGTCAGGTTGCCAAGCATCAAAATGTGCATCAGAGTACCATCAGTCGACTTTAGCACCGGTTCCAAGCCACTGGCTCAGTTAAATACCAACATCACAGTGGATGATAACAGCAAAGAGAATTGCTTTATTCAGCTTTTCACCTCAGAGACAGGTTTAAAACGGCTTCCTCAACTGCACAGGCTTTGCCTCCAGGACATCATGTGTCTGATCAAACTGTTTCGGAAGAAACTGCATGACGTTGGACTTTGGGCATGATGACCACACCGAGGACCGGTCCTTACTCATCACCACCCCCAAAATTGACCTCTTTGGGCAACCAACATCATCCCTAGGCAGGGGACAATCAATGGAATCATGTCTGGTTCAGTGACAAATCTTTCTTTTTTGTTGAAGCCTCTTGATAGGTGGTTTAGAATCTACCGTAGGTAAAATGAAGGTTTAGCCCAAAATTGTGTTGATGAAGCTTTTCTGCATGGTGGTGGAGGTGTTATAGTGTGGGGAATGATCAGTTACAATGGAAGGAGTCAATTGGTGCACATGGAAGAAAACTTGAATGCGCAACGAAACGTCAGAAAATTCTTCGACCACATGTCCTTCCATTTTGGAAGGACAACACCAGACCTCATTCTGCATGGCTGACCACGCAGTTCCTGGCTGCCAGTAACATTCAAATCCTTCCCTGTCCATCCACGTCTGCAGATATAAATCTGATTGAGCACCTGGGGGATGAGCTGCAAAGACGTGTTTGTCGCCAAGACATTGCTCCAGCCAATGGTCGTGATCTGTTCCAGGCATTCCAGGAAGAGGGGGCATCCATCCTCCCACAGGCCCACATCAGACATGTGATTGCATCCATGCTTAGGAGATGCCAAGTCACTGATCCTCACAAGAGGAGGCCACACACCATACTAATGGAAAAGGCTGTATACCTAAAATTATTGTGATCCAGATGCAACAAAATGTGTCAGTTGATTGTTGGAACCCTAATGTATTCTTGAGTGAAATTTGAGTAATTTCACTTTTTGCATTACAAAGATGCAGAATGTCAAAATTGTGAGTATGTATGTTCTTTTTTCAGTAGCTATGCGTTTCTTTGTTTTGAACAGTACACATGCAAAATTTAAGTTCTGGAACTAGGTGAACAATCAGAACTTTCTGCTTGCATTTACAGCTGGTGAATACTAAAATGATGATATCGACAACATCACTCATTGAGAGTTGTAAGAGAGTAAGTTGTACCGCACCGGAACATCACACAAGTGATAAACACCCAGTGACACAAAGTGCCACCATGCGGATCACCTGTGGAGAGGTCACGGAAACCCCATTCAGCTGTTTGGCCATATTTCAGGCCCGGCTATATTTAGTCCTCGATTCTTAGGGCTTCAAAATAGCTAAACATTGCATACCACATTGAGAGCTGACCGGACTATAAATTATAGGGCTGGTACCACATACCAGTTATGCCTCAAGCTGTTGGAATGGGTCCATTACCTTTAGTTTACTATAATTCAGTGGTGGGTTCTCTTATACTGTGTTTATATTTCTCAGTACATATGATTGTAAACAATGCTGTGGTAACCAATTTTTTTTTCCAATTTTATTTCAAAAAGGGAAGCAAACATTTATGAACTGTTTCCTGCTGCTTGTTTTGCAAATGATGGTAGGGTCATTAAGCCACAGCTCAGAGATGCCTTAGGCCTGGTTGGTTTGCAGCTTACAGATACAGATTTCCATCATATCTGGTCAAAGTAAGTATTTGCAGTAGACAATTTGATTCTGTTTTTCTTCTTCTGCTTTTTATATCCTATGAACTATAAGCCCTCAGACAACTCATTCCAAACCTTCCTACTATTCTTTGTCATCATTTGCAACATCTGGGCTTTCCTCTATTTGTGTGTTCAATACTATCATCAGTTGTTACAGTCTGTTCACTATTTCTCTGCTCATGGTGTCACCAAAGGGTATTTTTTCTCTCATACAGGCTTTCTTTAAATGTTATGCTCATAATGAGTGAATCAGGAATTGACCTCACTGCACTCGGAACATTCCCATGTGTGCTCTGTCCCCTTCTTCAGTAACCAATGAAGATTTGACATGCAGCAGTTGAAACCTGATTAAATGTCTGCCAGTGGTTTCCCTTCAATGCTGAATATCTTCCAGAACCTCTACACCTTGCCAGTCATCCGCTTGTGGGATGCAATTTTTTGTTATTTTGAAGCCCCATCCTGGCTCTTGCCAGGTACCGCAATTTAGCCTGGCCATAAATATGATCTAATTGCTGAACGCTGCTTCCGGGACCTCTCCAGAAGTGATTCTCATCCCCACGGTGGCACTTTGTGTCATCGGGTGTTTATCGCTTATGTGATGTGCTAGTGGGGTAAAATGTTCTACTACTACTAGAACCTCTACACATCCACAGCTGAATTAATCTTTCAATTTATAGATTCCACATCTGTTCTTTTGCACTGTCTATTTGATCCCATAGAGCCTTCCCCACATCTGCTTTATCATAACCTAGCCCACCACTGAGAGGAGTGGCAGCAGCTAATCTATCAGCCTGCTTGTTACCTCGCACATCTGAATGTCCTGGACAGAAAATCAATGATATGCTCTTTATCTGGGTTATCAAGTGATGCAAACAACTCTGATTGCAGGACACCGTTTTAAATTTTCCAAAGCCTGTTCTACGAGTCCGTTACAAATAGAACATGTTGGGCTTTGTTGCTCTTAAGCAGTAAGAAAACTCATTACTGCCTCCACATCCATTCTCATACTGGATGTAGTGACATTGTACGCAAGCCTGTCTGTTTTCAAGCAGTGTCCATTCACCTTTGCAATAACCACCCCCCCCCCCTCCTCATATTACCTCTCACTAAAGCCTATCTGTAAATATTATGATGTCACCTGGGTATGAATTTTCATTGATCAGCTCCTCCACCGCTGACTCTGTTTCACCAGCTATCCAGTGCCGGCACTCTCAGTCCAAGGTAACTATCACTCTGTGCTAGTCTGTTTTGCTGGTTTGCTGGGCGGCACTGTAACCCATTCTTCCCCATGCTCTGTCTTATCAGTAGCAACAACAGTTCTGATCGTGACTTCTGCCTGTGCTATCAAAGAGCCACATCTTTTCAGCTGTTGTCCCTTGTTATCTCCTAAGGCCCAATGCAGAAGGTGTTCCCTATCCGTTGTGACTTCAAGGTACATTTTTTGCCTGTAAAACTAGGTATCTCTCATATATAGATGGCAATGCAAGTATGTGCTGCAAGCACACAGTTTGCCTGTCTCATTTACATCCCAAAATAACTTGCATGGCTTCATTTTGGCCTTTCCAGCTTCTCTTTTTGGGTATGATGTTACGATATGTTATCACAATCGTTGACATAGCACATTGGGCATTCCCATGCATGCTCACTCCTCCGATGAAGCAGCCACTCTAAGGTACTTCTACTAATTACTAAGTTTTAACTGACTGGTATTTATAACATGTGCCAGTTAGACCATATTTCTGTGGCCTATGAGGTTTCTTGTCTGTTTGCTAATTATGGGTAATTTACACCATATATTATATTCTTTTCTCTATGTAACACTTGAAAAATCTTTTTCTGATACTTGAAATCAAAAAATGTAATGCGTATGTTTTGCTTTGTATATTATACAGTTTTTGTGTGTCCAATATGGTTTCAATTTTCTATGGTAACGCTTCCATTTTATTTTATCCACTTATTTCTAGCAACACTAGTTGAAAATAAGAGGGAGAGAGAAAGGTAGAGAGACAGACAGACATACAGAACCAATCAGACATAAACAATAGCAAGACATTTTTTTTAATTTGATTTTTATTCTTACCTCCTTAGTCTGTACTAACTTTTAGATAAATTTCATCATCTTCACATCGCAGGTCCTTTGCAGAACATCACTGTTATCACAGTCTGTCTGAAAGAAACTCAGTCTTTTGACAGATCTCCCACCTCATGCACTTTCATATCCAAGGAGTCGCTTATATCCCGTGCCCATCTTCATGCTGGGTGGCCCATGCCCCTACTTCCTGGCACCATGCTTTTTTTTTTTCAAAACTACCATGGTCAAAACATTTTAGCTTCCAAATGCTGTTTATTAGCCAATCTTCCTTGATGTTCAGATTTTTTTTAGTATGTCAGTAAGGGTGAGGTACTCATGTTTATTTAGGTATTTGGGCTCAAATTAATAGGCACAAACAGTTATTGTCATAAAAATCAGTTAAGTGATTCATAAAATAAAATACCATAACTGCAAAACTATCACAAGTAATAATAATAGAGGGAATGGAAAAAATTTGAAGTTAATGAACATAAAGTGTCAGCTTTAAAGAAATATTCAGCTTGAATACAAATAATTACAATGTGTAATATGTTATGTAGAAAAAGAAATTGTATTTTCAATCACTGCATATTATTTCTACAATACCTTATTTTAAATTGTAGGTTTGATTCAGACAACATTGGCTCAATCCCCACTAAAAAACTGTACAAGATGTTGAACTTGTCACAGGCTGGTTTACCAAGATCAGATCCTAGAGTTACAAGAAGTGCTTATTCACAACAAAAGACAATTTCAGAGAGAGAATTTGTTCAGAAAAGGTGTAAGACTGCGGTAAGTTCTGTTCTATAGGATATCATTTTGTGTGTATCATGACAGAACAATTTAGTCTTATCTGAGCTCTGTTCAACATTAATTTATGTTCTGACTATAATTCTTATCAAATAGTTAAAAATAAACCTACACACAAAGATTTGCATTTACTACAATGTAGTGCTTAATCATGAGACTAGTCTGAATCATAACATAGCAAATTAAAAGGATATTGATAAGTATTACATACCTCTTTACTGTCTTTGCAATATTTTGTATTTAAATAGTTTTTATTTCATAAATATATGCTTGCATTATTATCATAATGTAGGAGGTCCTTTGCAGAACATTGCTTTCATCAGTCTTCCTGAAACTCGGTCTCTCGCCAGCTCTCGTGCAATTTCACATCCAAGAAGCCACTAATTTCCTGTACCCATCTTCATGATGGTTGGCCCCTGGCCCTCCTTTCTGGTACCATGCCTTCTGGTATTATTTTCCCCAGTCCACCATTGTGCTTGATATGGCCAAAATATTTCAGCTTACAAGACAAGATGCAGTTTATTAGCCAAACTTTCTTGATGTTCAGATCTTATAAAATGTCAGTATTTGTTCTCTTTTTTGTCCATGGTCTTCTGAAAATCTTTCTTTAGCATTTCAGCTCAAAAGCCCCTATTTTCTTCCTAAGGACTGGGAGATAGTCTATGCCTCACATATCTATATGTTACTGAGGGAAGATACATGTTTTCAAAATTTTAACTTTGATTTTCTTGCTTGTGCTTAACCATAGACTTTTTATACTGTTTAATATTTGTATTGCTATGGTCATCCTCCTTTTGACTTTTGTTGAATATTCTATATTGCTATTTATTATGGAGCCTAGATATTCAAATTTTATGACTTTTTCAATTTCTTCATTATTTATTGTCATTTTTGGATGACAGCCAGTTTTGTATGTGGACATTATTTGTGTTTTTCTTTAAATCCAAGAACAGGTTTTGATCTTCACTGTGTTTTTTGGAAAGACGTGATTTAATGTTCTATTCCCTGTACATTGTTCAGATGGTACATTGTACAAGTAATGTTTGCAATACTGGCAATTTTCCAGACTGGAGTGGCAGAAATACTGATTCTATTTCTGTCATTTTGAAAACTCTGATTATTGTTCAGCAGTTTCTCTGTTGCTGTCTTGAGTGCCTGGAATTGAACATTATAGTTGTGACGATACTTTTTGTTGGTATTCCTGCTCTGTATTATTTGAGTCTTCTTTGTGTGCTCCTTCCCTTCTAACCACATTTCATGCTGACTTATTTGGGTAGACTCTGATCCAAAGGTCTTGTTGGTATTTATCAGCAACAAATTTTAGAGCGACTATTCTTCCTTGATGAAGACTTCTTTCATTTTGTCTGTGTGTTTACTATTAGTTTATATTGTTCTTAATTGTACTACTAATTCCCTTTATGGGATCTGTGGCCCTGGGGAAAAGAGGTGGGGGGGGGGGGGGGAAGGATAAGCATGTTGTAAAGGTGACAAATTAATGATTGGCTGAAATTGGACGTGTCGGACTGAAAGTTGCAGGTATCACAGTCTAGCTATAAACCAGAACACAGCGTGTTTTGGGGGTGAATAAAAAAAAAATACTACTACTATAGTCTATTTCAAAAGTCATAACCAATTTTAGGGATCTATTACTCAGTAACCATTTGGTGTAAATTGTTGAATTCTGGCATGCAATATGTTAATAAACATATCGTCGTTGGAAAAAAATTATAATGTAAACAAACAACTAGTTTTTGTTTTGCTTTATTTACCGTATATAAAAAAACAGACACTGATTCAAAGCATTCACTTAGCATGTTTACAGTAATAAAGTGACACAAACTAGTCAAAACATCAAGTTGCACATGTTTTAGAGGTAATTTGTGTGAACAAATGGCCAGATGATCAATCTTCATTAGCTTCCCATAAATTAGATTAACACAGTATTTCATTGTATATGGGATGTGCTATCAACATAATAAACAATCTACATGTTTATGGTTAAAAGTAAATGATGTGTGTCAATTACTGTATATTCTATTTTTTAGGGGTACACAAATTATTAATCTGACAAAGATCAAAGAAATCCGCTGCTTTAAAAAAACAGTAACTCTTGTTTAATTGTAAATTACAAAATTGAAGGACATGAGAAATCTGAGTCCATGTGCAAAAATTTGTGTTCATCCATACAGGAGTTTTTGAGATATGTGTTAAGTTTGAAGTCACGACTTTTGGAACAGATTATAATAACTTTCTGTAGTATAAATTTATATTTTACTAGATTTAATCGCCTGCCTTAGCCCAGGATAGTGAAAGAAAATCTAATTCTCCAGTCTTCCACCTCATCTTGGTCTCCACCACTGCCCTATATGTAGGCCTAGTGGAAATAGGGGTATAACTAAAACCCTATATTTAATATCGCATCTTCTATTTTTTCTTTGTCTCCACTGCTCCCATATCTTTAGTCATTGCCCGATGAATTTTACGCTCGTCTCTCCATTAGCACATCACCGGTTGTAGGTCAACACCATTGATAAGTTGGTTGGACTAGTCTACCGTGTTTAAGGTTATGGGTGTTGCAGTCTGTGGTTGTCTGGTATTTACATTTCTATTTCCGAGAAAGAAACGGCCTGTGGCATAGGTTTTGTCACTCTCTAGGAAGGTTGTGTGTTAGACCCAGTATCTAAATATTTTAGAAGTGTTAAAAGCACTGTCATCGTGAAACATACAACATGTGGTATGAGGGCAAGTGCGAAATATCCCCGCGACCTTGTGTGGCAGTCGTATTGCTCGAGGCTGACCTATCAGAAGTAAGCTGGTCAGTAGGTTGTCCAGTCAGAAGTGAGCTAGTGTGTAGCGGTGTGCTAATGGGGAGATGAGCGTAGAATTTACCCATTGCTCCTAAGTGCACCTGAGGCATCCCCTGTGATACTAGCACTAGCATTTAACAGTTTGGGAGACAGACAAATATATTGTCTCAGACACATATAGATATGTAGTTTCAAGTAAGATAATAGCAAAATATTTTTTTTTAAATAACCTTTTCAAAGGAGGTAATTAGAGAAAACATTCATAGGGATACAACTCCAGCGAAAGTTTCCTTTTACTGATTAACACAATAAAAGAAATTCACTATAACCTAGGCTGCAAATGTGACGTTAGATTGAATATTGTAGTCACAATAGTTAATAAAAATTTAACACGTTTATTGGTCATGGTTTGGGGGGCATTTACACTTCATTTATAATATACACACGAAATACATAAAGGTTTTGTGATTTATACGCGTAGTATATACTCATTAAGTTTATGTTGATTTAATGTGTATTTCCTACATTATGTTTATAGATGCAAATGACAAGAGATACAAGACACTGCTCATTCATCTCCAAAGTGGAATCTGTAGAAGTGAATGAAAACAAAGCAGAAATCTCTGATGAACAAACAAAAGCCAGGCTTTTGGTGAGTCAGCCTAAACTTACGACAGAGGTGACAACAACAACAACCCAAGAAGATACAACAACTACTACAACAACTACTACCACCACAACCAAAAAAACCATCACTGAGAAACGAGAAGATCAAGTTGTAGATGACTCTAGACTGTCATCACATGTCAGAGCACTGATCCAAGCCAAGAAGACTCCTCCTCATTTTGAAAGTGTAGTAGATCATCTTCATTATAAGGTGAGTACCTCCAGAAATAGGCGTTGCGAACAAGATTTGTAATGCTGGGGTGCCAGTTCGATCCCGGCTGCTGACAGTTTGTCTTAGGTTGGTTTTGACAGTGATACTGAGCGCTGACCATTCAGAAAGCAATGGCAAACTACTAAATGTAAAATTTGCTTAAAAGCTTGTTCAATTTCCTAACAAATTTCAAAGTTATGATCAGTTTCTGGGTTATTTTGGAACTCAGAGGGTCATAGTTCTCACAGAATGCTGAGCAAAATTTCAGAGAAAAAAATGGCAGAAAATGGGCAATTACACACACTATTTACTATTTACCTTATACACTTATTTACTGACTGAAGCTGTAATGATTTCAGCGCAGCTTAGGCATAGTATAGTACTATCTCTTTGTTTGGAGCACTTTCCTTCACTCACCCTCTAAATACAGTACTAATGGAACATTCTCTGTGTAAACTCATCAGAATTGGTAGATTTCAAAACAACTGATCGCTTGGCTGCAGCTGGTGTAAATTCACCATCCTATTCACTTTTAGAAAAAATCTAAATTTTCATTATCATTATCAGAACTGTAAACATCCAACTGAAACTATATCTGAGTTTCAGCCGCAGAAAGAGGTATTTTGCTACCTGTACTTGTGTTTAGAATGTTGGTATCCATGGCACTTGAAAACTTAGAAAATGCACAGTTCAGTGATAGCTATCTATTAACCGGATCAATCTGCCCACATGTCTTGGAATACAGAATGTTATTCACAGGAAAATATTAGAGAAACCTTCCCTGAATACTTTAATGATAGTTCCGAACATTAGAAACAAATACGGAGCAGTGTGTGAAGCAAAATGTACCTGACACACGATAGACGCTCACAGTGTTGTTTGGGCAAATTGGAACTTCTCAATCCACACACTAACAGCGTTGTTCAAGCCTTAAGGGGGTTTAGCATCACATGCCCAGGGGGTAGTAAAGAAAGTAATAAAATCGGCGCATCATGCGTTCATTGGGCTTCTAGGTAGGAACCTATGAATGTATGATGCGTACCATAGGACTCAAAGAGTTTAAGAGTTAAGTGGTATAGTCTGTAAAGAGTTAAGATTATAAGCAATGCAGTCATATTCGACTATAATGGTATAAGAGAGGCTGATGAGAAGCATTTTCAGCAATCCTTGGAATGGTGACCGTCCTAGGGAAGGCAATTAATGGCGACCGTAAGGGAGACAATCCATTGTTTGTGTACATGGTTTGGTTTAGGGTTTCGGTTAGGTTTAGTGCTTGGGTTAGGTTAGGGTTAGCCCTAACTTTAACTCTAACCCTAATCTCAAATAATACTAAACATGAAAGAATATTAGTGTTATGTGAACTTACACAAACAATGTTTTATGTCTCCTGTGGGTCAGCACTTGCAGTAATATCATATAGACCATCCCCTTGTGGGATGCGTTTTTTTGTTATTTTGAAGCCCAACCCTAGCTGTTTCTGGGGGTCTTAATATAACCTAATGGTTCAACAGGATTTCAGGGACCTTCCCATGGATTATCCTCATCCACATGGTGGCACTTTGTGTCACTGGATGTTTATCACTCTGTGTGATGTCCTGGTTGAGTAAAATTTACTTACTTACACTTACAGTAATGTTAACTTAGAATAGATTGCATCCCCTAGGGTAGCCATTTCAAGGACTTACTGAATTTTCATATATTGTATTTTCTGAGAATTGTAAAGAGTTACTCATATGTTGTGTTTGACCAACAAAGGAGGTGATGACCTCTTGTTATCCAGTAAGGTTCAATGGTTAGACTTACCAGTGACTGATGAGGTCAGTCGACATGAGAATTCCCTCGGCACACACAGTGGTAAAAGTTGGACTTACCAGTGACTGATGAGGTAAGTCGACATGAGAATTCCCTCGGCACACAAAGTGGTAAAAGTAAGACTTACGAGTGGCTGATGAGGTCAGTCGACATGAAAATTCCATCGGCACACAAAGTGGTAAAAGAGGATGTGAAAAAGTAGAAGATGAGGTCAAAGCTAGCTTTGAAAGTTTTTGGCCAGTGTGGACAGCAGATGGCGGACACACTTCAGAACCTGTTTAGTGCACTGAGCTTTCTACCTTGTCTCCATTTCTTTCCTTATGCTGCTTCTGCTACCTCACTGGTCGTTGTGCCATGATGGAGAAGAGTACACAACCTGGATGAATTTTGGACAACAAATTCTCCTGTATAGAGATGCAAAGATATATTTTCATTTATACAGTAATAAATATAAACACAGACACACAATGCAGTATTATTTATACCTTTGTATTTTTTTGCCCCTATTAATCTTCCTTGTTTTCCTACTCTCTCTCTCTCTCTTTCTCTCTCTCTCTCTCTCTCTCTCTCTCTCTCTTTCTTGATTTCCTTTGCTGTTTGTCCTCCTCCTACTTTTTCTTGTTAATATTCTTCTTCTTCAGACCAGTATTAGACTCACTGTAACCTTTTCTGATTTGACAGGAATGAATATTATTTGAAAAAGCGGTAGCATCACCTTTCTGAAAAATTCACATTTTCTTTAACTATATTTTCTCTTGTACAGTGTCGAACTGGGTATTCACGGCACAAATATACAATATAGAATGTAGACTGTCAAACAATATTGTTTCATGACATTGTCTACATAATTTTTTTTATATAATATGTAAAATAAATTTTTCTTTTGACAATCTTGATTTTTTTTTTTACAATTTTGATTTTAAGCTTTTATATCTGCAAATATATATGCAGACTACCATGAGCCAGTAGTCCCACTCAGAGATGTCTTTACAATCCCAGTAGATATTATTAGGTAATATGGGTAATATATCCTACATGTTTTGTTTTTCCTTACCAGAGAACAGACAGCTCACATCTAAAGGTGATTCATGATTGAACTGGTTTTTTATTTTTGGAAATTATTATATCTTGCAATTTATTTCTTTTTAAGTTCGTCTCACTTAACATATTGAATTTGTTCCTTATACCATGATAGCAGTAAAAAAAAATTTTTAACATTTTTTTCAACAATGTGGTCCAAAGAAAAAGACAAATCGTTTTTTTTTTAAAACTACGAAATAACAGAAATAAATAAATGATAACACAATTAAAAACTCTGTTTATGAAAATGAAAAGCATATTATGCAATAAGCCTAAGTTATTGACAGTTGGAAAAGAATTTGTGTGCATGGAATACATTTTTCCAAATGACTTGAATGCAGAATCAATCAACAACAAAAATCCCCCGAAGGCAAGGAAATGGATCTTACAGAGGAATTCTGACTATGCATTTGGCAATCTAAATAGAGAAATTTCGTTTAAAGAGACAATTCACAAAAAGGACTTATCATTTCTCATTATGAGAGTTAACAATGAAAATGTGAAATTTATAATTTAAAATGAAGAAAATTAACCATATGCTCTCCATAACATATCTGTGTCAGATGAATATACAAGCATAGCTACATAGAACATTTTTAATATCAGTGCAATGAATAATGTAATTTTTATGGTGTTATTTACTTTTGATTCTTTGTTGTGTGAAGTCACATTGTTGTTTGATTGCACAAATTGGAAGGTATATTTAAATGCAGTTTTTGTTCTAATTTTGAAGTAGTTTTTAAATACATTATATTACAATTTAGTGCTTTCATCTAGCATTTTGTTTAGCTATACTCAGCAGTTTTGAGTTTTTGCTTCAACACATATTGTTTTCAGTATTAGTTTTTGTTTCTTACAAGCAAAGGTTTGGTTCGTTAATAATTTATTCATAATTTATAAATATTTTAAATTGCAATTTAATGAAAATGCCACATATATATAGGTTGAATTATACTGGCAGTATCAATTAATCTCAGTTATTGCCTTTTTATTTGTGAGGGTACATTCTTTCACTTCAACTTAAAAAGTCTGGCTTAAACCTTAGCATAGCTGATCATAGTGGAAGTTCCATCTGTATAAATTGTAGAGTTTTTTTTTTTTTTTTTTCCAAATCATGGCCCATTGCAGAAATGTTTGCAGCAAGATGTAAAACATACTGGAAGATCTTAACATGCATTCAGAAAGGAAAAGTACAATATTCAGCTAACCAGCTAAGGTCAGGACTTGCATGCTTAATGCAGAGTGGCATGCATCACTGCGGAGGACACGGGTGAGGAGTATTGTCTGGATTATTTCATCGGTGTGTTGGGAAATGAACAGGCGGACAAACTGGCTAGCTCTGCACAATTTGGTGGAATACTGATGCACGATAAGGCAGACGTGGTTAGTGCCTTGTGGGAAAGCGTGTACAGTTCGGAAGAGCAGATGGATCAACACAGTCTGGTCAGATTAATGCAGTGGGGAGTGACGAGAGGTTCTGGCAGATGCTCGAGGCTCAGAGGAAAGGCCAGACGGACGTTTAATCAGAATCCTACTGGCACCATTAGTATCGGAACTCTTCACTGGCTGCTGAGGATAGGGACGGAGCGCTTATGCGGATGTTCCGAGTGCTGTAATGTTGGTTCTTGTGTCAACTCAACTTAACTCAACTCAGCTCAACTCAGCTCAAATATACTTTCTGTCTATTCGATCCATTATGTGGTCAGTAACACACAGGCTACCTATTTTTCACAGAACCTTTTAAAGTACCAATTTTTGGGATGTAGGTCAAACTGGGGGTCCAAGTAAAAATCGATCTTGATGGAGGTTTGAGCCTATGCTGAAAAAAGATGACAGGCAAGCAAGCTAACCACTACATTACTGTTCTTTTTACTAAAATAGTGACTGGTTAAAACCCCTCAGTAATAGGATTTTTTTTGTACCAAGCAAAGTAAACAACATTTAAATTTCTTTTTAATTTTACCAGGCATTTTCGTTTTGTGGGTTCGCTCCCATGCAGAGTCGGACTTTTTTCAAAAATGACCTTGGCTCCCAGGTCGACCCAGCTTTGAGTGGGTACCGGGTGCAGTCCCGGGAAGTAGAGGTGGCCGGCATGATGCTGACCACAT